CCTTGGGGGGGGGGGCCTCTGTGCCGGGGGGCAGGCTGCCTGGTCCTCCGCCCCGGCCGCTGATGCTGGTTGGGCGCTCTTCCAGATCAACGGGGTAGACATGACAGAAGCCAGGCATGATCAGGCCGTAGCGCTGCTTACCGCCACCTCGCCCACCATCACGCTGCTGGTCGAGAGGGAGGCTGCCGCTCCTCCGCCCAGTGAGGGAGACCAGGCCTCGGGGCAGCGCGTTCGGGTCCACTCCCCACCACCCCCCGCCCTGCAGGGGAGCCCGCCCGAGGAGTCCCGCCGTAGCCACCCGCCCCAGGCCCTGGAGAGCCAGTACCCTGTGGAGGTAGGTGAGCCGTGGGCATTGGGGGCCACGGAGGGGGCACGGAGGAGTGAGGCGGCCTGCGGCCTTGCAGTGCCGCTCCTGCCCAGCCGTTGGACTCCTTTACAGGACTGGGTGCATATGTTATTTCCCCTGTCCCCCGGGGGGGGGGGGGGAAGAGTCTGCTGCTGTCTGGGGCTCTGGCCCGGGAGTGCAGGGGCGACTCGGATGAGTCCTGGGGCCAGTTCTGCCGGCCCTTTGCCTCCCCGCCCCTCTCCCGCAGGGGAACGTGTCGCTTTCCGAGTAGACCCACAGTGTGTGTGTGTGTGTGTGTGTGTGTGTGTGTGTGTGCGCCCCCCCCCACACACACACGCACAGCTGTCGCCACGTGTTTGCCCCAGGCACCACCCCCTTCCGGGTCCCGAGGGTTGTCGCCTCACCTCGTGTGCCTGGTCCTTTTCCCGCCCAGGAGGTGTGCCTGGTCAAGGCCGGGGGCCCGCTTGGGCTCAGCATTGTCGGGGGCAGTGACCACTCCAGCCACCCGTTTGGGATCCACGAGCCAGGGGTCTTCATTTCCAAGGTGAGGATGAGGAGGGAGGCTGCTCCCGGGGAGGGCGGGGTGGGGGGGGAAGGGCCTGGGGAAGGGGGTTCCCTGACCTCCGGAGCTGGCTGGCGGCTGGCGCAGAGACGTGCCGGGTTTTGCCACAGGCGAGTGCATCCCACCCCTGCCTGCTGGAGCTCGCCCACGTGTGGTCCACCCCTTTTCTTGGGCCGTGTTCTGTTCTCCTCTGCGCTTTCCAGAGAACGGCCACGGGCTCGAGGTCTTCTGCTCGCCTCATGGCCTCGCCTCCACACTTTGCCTCCTAGGTGATTCCACGGGGACTGGCATCCCGCAGTGGGTTGCGGGTGGGTGACCGGATCCTGGAGGTGAACGGCATCGACCTCCGCCATGCCACGCACCAGGAGGCCGTGAGCGCCTTGCTGTCCAGCACCCAGCAGCTGAGGATGGTGGTCAGGCGAGACCCACCCCCACCCGGGATGGAGGTAGGCAGGCAGGCAGGGGGCTGCGCCGGGGGAACCTCTTTGCCCTTCTTGGTGCATGATGGGAGGGCACGGCTGTTGCCCGCCACCTGCCGGGGGAAGCGGTTTGGCACCTTCTGTGAAATGGAACTGGGAGACAGCCCACCCTATGGTCCCTCCGTTTTCCGGAGACCTTCTTGCCGTCTCATCGCTAGTGCCCCCCTCCCCGTCACTCACTCGCCCGCTCTGGGCAAGGTTTCACTGCCCGTGACTGCAGACGAGGCCCAGCCAGGGTTAGTGGGGGTGTTCACCTTTGTGGCTTCTGTGCAGTCCCACGTGGGGGAGCCGTGGAGAGGAGCCTTCAAGCTTTTCTGGAGAAGCTTCTCTAGGCAGGCTCTGGCGCACTCCCCCTCCCTGCTGTCGACAAGGACCCCTTTTCCCGCTCAAAGGGTCACGTGACAGGAGGCGGGGCTAGCACTCCTTTCCTCAGTCCTCGTCCTGCTGCCGTGAGGGGAGGACATACTTCTCATTGCTGCTTCGCGGGGCCTCCTCAAAAGAGTATTCTGGAGACTTCTAACAAATGATGATTTGGTAGGATGGCTCTTTTCAAAAACTGTGGGAGGCGTGGGGCAGAAATGGCCCCAGAGGACGACTGTTCGCCATGCCTCCTGTGCCGCCGAGAGGGCCACAGTACGGCCACATTGCGCCCAGCTTGGAAGCACCTAGCTCCTAAGGCTCGCGAGTGGAGAGTGGCAAGACTCCAGCCCTGCAGGGCGTCCCGAACCCAGACTGACGAGGGTGCGAAGGCCCATTTGTGTCAGGCTCCACAGCCAACATGCTTGTCAGAAAGGGCTGTACTCTATTGCAGAGCTATGGAGGCAGTAACATAGTCACTGTTAAGAATGGCAACGTTCCTACAAGCATAATGGGATATAGGGTATTCGTATGCACCCCCCCCTTTCCATAAGCCAATTAGCTAGGCTCCTGCGCACGGGAGAAGGGTCCCCCGACTGTTAGAGGCCGCAGCTGGGAACCGAAAGTGCTCCCACAGTTCCAGGCAAAGCAGACACTACACCAGCAACCTGCAAGGTCATTGATAAGCAAGCAGTACAGAAGCAAAAGTAAAGAAGCAACATCTGGCCCAAATAGGAAGAGAATTAATCCCCCCCCCATCATGGCAGCATAGCTGACATTCTGCCCCCTCGAAACTCAGCTTCTCCCGCCCAGCCCGGGAGATCTCCCGGTCACTTCGGGAGAGGTCCCAGTTTGTCCAGGAACTCCCTGTGGAATTTCCGCAACAGCTGAGGGGCCCGAATATCCCCTACGTCCACCCACTCGAGGTGCTGGGGTCCGAAATCAAGCCATTCCACCAGATAAAACAACCGACCACGTTTCACTTTAGAGTCCAATATCTTGGAGATTTCATAATGTTCCTCTCCCTCCAGCATAATAGGAGGGGGTACAGGATGTGATGGTCGCCAGGGGCTTGACCCAGAATCCCGTTTTAAGAGGCTGAAATGAAACACAGAATGCAAATTCCTCAAATTCTTAGGAAGATCAAGATCCACAGCCACATCATTAATCACTCTTTTCACCCTGAAGGGACCAAGGTATTTCCACCCCAGTTTCCGACTAGGATGCAAGAGTTTAATGTTTTTAGTTGACACATACACCGAATCCCCAGGCTGCAGAGCCCAACCCTCCACCCTTGTCAGCCTGAGTCTTGTAAGCCTCCTTAGCTGCATTCAATGTCTTACAAAGGAGTGGCCACGAGTCTTTCAAACATTGGCACCAGTGAGCGGCATCCCCCGACCCCAAGTCACTTGGCCCCTCCAAAAAGGGCACTGGGGAACTGTCATAGCCATATAAAGCCTTAAAGGGGGACAGTCCAGTGGACAAGTGGCACGTGTTGTTGTAACAAAATTCGTCTTGTTGATAATTGGTGAAACAGCGAAGATATTGTTCCAACGTCTGAGTAACCCATTCCATTTGTCCATCAGTCTCTGGGTGGTAAGCACTGCTCATGGCCCGTTTGACTCCCATGAGTTTCAGAAGCTCCCCCCAAAACCGGGAGACAAATTGGGGCCCCCTGTCGGATATCACCTTGGACGGGAGCATATGCAGTCGGACCACGTGCAACATGAAGGCTTTGGCCAGGGCCTTTGCCGTGGGCAGAGACGTAAACGGGACAAAGTGAGTCTGTTTAGAAAATAAGTCCACAACCACCCAAATGACCATCATAGATTTACTGGGAGGGAGGTCTGTAATAAAGTCCATGGAAATCACCTCCCAAGGCCTGCTAGGAGTTGGGTGTGGTTGCAACAAGCCTGGGGGGTTCCCCGGCCGGGTTTTGCTCATGGCACAGGTTTGGCATGACTTGACAAATGACGACAAATCCTTCCACATTTGCGGCCACCAGAATTGTCGCTGCTAAAGTTGCAGGGACTTTACGAAGCCAGAATGTCCCGATAACTTAGAGCCGTGCACAGCTTGGAAAACTTCCCCCCTGACGGAGAGGGGCACAAACAGTTTGTGGCCGCGGTACCAGCAGCCATCAGATCTCCGTTCGAAGTCCCCTTCCGCGTCTATCACTGCCTTGTCGCCCTCTGTGAAGGCGGAGGCAAATTTGCTGTGCCAAGACCCCCCCCTTTTCCTCCCACGGGAGAATATCTGGTTTCGATGACGGAGAGTGGGAGGCAGCGAGACTAGCTCGGCTGTGCGTAGTCACTGCCCCACCCAGGTGGGAAGGCGTAAAGACCGAATCCAAAATAATCTCCCGTTGGTTGGCATGTTGGGGTAGGCGGGACAGGGCGTCAGCGAGAGAGTTCGCAGAGCCAGGAAAATGGTGAAGAGTAAACTGAAACTTGGAAAAGAAATCAGCCCACCTAAACTGCTTCGCATTGAGGCTTCTGGGCGTTTTAAGCATTTCCAAGTTCTTGTGGTCAGTCCATACCGCAAAGGGGACCCGCACTCCCTCCAACCATAGTCTCCAGGTGGCCAGCGCCAGTCGGATCGCCCCTGCCTCTTTCTCCCAAACAGACCAATTACATTCCGTGTCATTGAACTTCCTTGACACATAAGGCGAAGGGGTGTAGCAACCCATCCTCTCCCTTCTGGAGGATCGCGGCCCCCATGGCCACATCTGATGCGTCGGTTTGAACGATAAACTTTTTATTTTCATTGGGGTGGAATAATACAGGCTGGGATTTAAACAGGAATTTGACGCGGTCGAAAGCCTCTTGGCACTCTTTGCTCCAAGCCAACGCAGCCCCCGGCTTGGTCACCTCCAGACCTTTCCCCTTAGTCTTTAATAAGTCAGTGAGGGGCAAACTGATCTGGGCAAAGTTGGCCAGGAAATTTCTGTAAAAAAATTCCCACCCCAGCACATATCGAAAGCCTCTTGGCACTCTTTGCTCCAAGCCAACGCAGCCCCCGGCTTGGTCACCTCCAGACCTTTCCCCTTAGTCTTTAATAAGTCAGTGAGGGGCAAACTGATCTGGGCAAAGTTGGCCAGGAAATTTCTGTAAAAAAATTCCCACCCCAGCACATCCCGGACCTTTTCCGGGTCCATTTCCAGCCCCTTATTCAAAATCCGATACCCCAAAAAGTCAATGTGTGATTTGTGGAACTCGCATTTGGAAAGATTCGCAAACAGTTTGTGCTTGTGCAACGTGGTGAGGACCTCCCTCACCAATTTCGTGTGAGAGGGGAGGTCGGGGG